GGTACTTGTTCTTGACTGTAAGGGCATTCAACTCCCGATAGTCAATGCACATGCGCGAAGATCCATCTTTCTTCTTCACGAATAGGATGTGCGCACCCCACGGCGAGACACTCGGATGAATAAAACCGAGCTTAAGCAACTCTTGGATCTGGGCCTTGAGCTCTTGAAGCTCCTTCGGCGCCATACGATAAGGGGCCTTAGAAACGGGGCCGGCTCCGGGAATTAGGTCAATGGTGAGCTCCACCTTCTGGTCTGGCGGTCCTCCGGGTAAGTCATCAGGAAAGACGTCGAGGTACTCGCAAACAATAGAGACTCGCTCGGGTACCCGCTCATCAACATCTTCAGATACCATAGAAACAAGATAGCCTTAATAGCTACCCTTGGAAAGGCTCTTCCTGGCTTGCATAGAAGAGATGACCCGAGGCACAGTCCTCGAACTCACCCCAAAGAACACAACAGGTTGATCGGAAATGGGATAGAGAGTGACTTCGCGCTCCTGGCACTGGATATCGGCTCGGTAACGGATGAGCCAGTCCATGCCCAAGATCACGTCGAAGTCTCGCATATCAATTACATAGACGTCGGCCTCCAGAACTCGACCACCGATAGTAACAGGAAGATCACAAACTAAGGAATCGGAGATGATAATTTTTCCCGAGGCTAGACTAACCTCGAGAGGATCACAAGAACTCACAGTACTAATGGATAAGGCCTCCAAGCAACGAGAAACCTCTAGAGTCCGAACTTAAGTCTATATCACTAGAGTTCAACGTCAAACACTAGAGTTCAAATAACCTAAGGTGGATAGATTTCCTAAGCCCCAAAACAACATATATATTACTTCACAAGTAGTCTCATTGCTACTCATGCAAAACCTCATGAGTAGTTTCATTGCTACTCATGCAAAGTCACAATTCACATTATAAGTATTTTCATTGATACTTGTATAAAACATACCTTAAGCAGTGCAGCGTGACGGAGACGAGTGGTCATAATATAAGGTCTAAACACATAATCACATATAAACCATTCTACAGAAATGCAGACTGGCTCTGATACCAAACTGTGACACCCCACTTTGATTTTACAGAAATTCCGGACTTTCCAAAAATCAGTATAAAATTGTCGAGATCATTTTTGAAATCTAATGGTTGTTAAACAATATATTTCGTAACTCAAGTCTTATCTGGGTCCACGGGGATTCATTACCCAGTTTTCACGAATGGTTTTCATTAACCAAAGCATAACGTGAGACATAATTCTCAAACATGAATATACTTAAACCATACCATCACACCCAACATCAGGGTTCCACAAGTTTTCCAAAAACAAACAAGTCTTATATTTCGGAAAAAGGTTTTAAACAAGTTTTCACATAAAGGTCCATAAAAGCCTTAATT